GTATAAAACTTCAACTGCGTGAAACACACAGTAGTATGAAACTTCAACTGCGTGAAATACACAGCAGTATGAAAATTCGGCTGCGTGAAACACACAAACTTCACGCATGCGTGGAGTGTATAGAGTGTACGGGAGTGATTCACGCAATGGTGCGAATAGTCACGGCCTTTTAAAATTCTGAAAAAATTACAAAGTTTACTTTTGGATGCAGGTTGATGAAATAATTAAAAATTGCAATTTTTGAAACTTACGGGCATTTTCTATAAATTACTTATAAACAATCAAATTTTCACCATAAAAATCATTTGTTTGGAATCATGGTAAATTTATTCATATTCAGAACTTTTCTAAAAATTGATTTCATGCCTAAAAAAGATGGGGTTTCTGAAAGTTTAAACAATTTCAATTATTATATTATTGGCTAAAAGCTATTATTATCTCCAAATTTTCGTCCTTAAGGATATCCAAACTGTAAAAAATCCTTCGATATTCTTGAAGAACTATTTAGAGGATCGTGAAGGGTGACAAAATCTGAGGAAACGATTTTCAAAACAACTATTTGTTCATAATAGTTGGAGAGATATAAAAATACAATCGAAAAATTTTATCTTTAAATTTTTTATCTGAAAATTACAGTTCAAAATTTGATGGAATTGCAAGTGGCAAGTGAATCATTCGAAAAATCAGAAAAAATTCTAATGTTTGAAAAATTAAACTCGACGTCGGTTGAAATACTTAATCTCCTCTATTTCTCGAACATGAAACAGTGTTTTACCTGCCCCATCGCGAACAAACGACTCAGAGGTCCTTGAGGTTGTTACTCCCTCAATTAACCGAGATTACCAGTTGCGCATTTGCCTTGAGACGACTAGGTAATTCCGAATCCCTTAATTTTCATTCCCCAAACAATCCCCTAAACATCAATGTTTAACATTATAATTGGATTGATCATTGTTCCACTGAATATTCATAGAATAATCGGCTGTATAACCACACCTCAGTGTCTTAATTCACTCCTTGAGCATGTACAACGTGCATTTTACGTAACTATCACCCATTCCGATTGTACCTCCAGCCATCACGAAGAGACTCATGGGGAAATGTATGTCAGATCGATCATGAGATTTTTCAAGGAGATGACTTTTACGTTCACATAGCCTCGTCTGTCCTTTTTCAGCCATTGACATCCGGAAAAATTGTTTGATTGCGGAAATAATT